CACTTTAGGCCCCTTAGTGCCAATTGGGCATCGTTTAAATGCCACGGCCTACCTCAGCATTGTTTCTGACCATGTCCATCCCTTTATGGCCACCATGTACCCATCCTCTGATGGCTACTTCCAGCAGGATAATGCACCATGTCACAAAGCTCGAATCATTTCAAATTGGTTTCTTGAACATGGAAATGAGTTCACTGTACTAAAATGGCCCCCACAGTCACCAGATCTCAACCCAATAGAGCATCTTTGGGATGTGGTGGAACGGGAGCTTCGTGCCCTGGATGTGCATCCCACAAATCTCCATCAACTGCAAGATGCTATCCTATCAATATGGGCCAACATTTCTAAAGAATGCTTTCAGCACCTTGTTGAATCAATGCCACGTAGAATTAGGGCAGTTCTGAAGGCGAAAGGGGGTCAAACACCGTATTAGTATGGTGTTCCTAATAATCCTTTAGGTAAGTGTATATATATATATATACATACTGAAAGACTGGCCGATATAGTGTTGGAGGTTTCACGCCTCTACTGTATATGTGCGGCCTGGTGGCCAATCTTCTCTGATTTTACATTCCATCAGTAAGAGCAGAGTGTGAAAGTTGAATTAGCAGAGCAATAGCACAGCTGTACATAAAATATTGCAATCTTCATAACATAATGGGAGACATATCAGAGTTCAAAAGAGGACAAATTGTTTGTGTGCGTCTCGCTGGCTCATCTGTGACCAGGACAGCAAGTCTTTGTGGTGTATCGAGAGCTACGGTATCCAAGGTAGTAACTGTCGACTTAAGAGGAAGCTGTCTGAAAAGGATGTCCAGGTACTAACCAGGATTGTATCCAAAAAAAACATAAAACCACTGCTGCCCAACTCACTGAAGGATTAAATGTGCACCTTGACTCTCCTGTTTCCACCAAAACTGTTCGTTGGGAACTGCACAGTCAATATTCACGGCCGGGCTGCATAGCCAAACCTTTGGTCACTCGTGCCAATGTGAAATGTCAGTTTCATTAGTGCCAACAGTGCAAATCTTGGGCTGTGGACAATGTGAGACATGTTCTCTGATGAGTCCACCTTTTTTCCACATCCGTAGAATTTACAGTGTGGAGAAGCCCCAAAGCGGTTGCAGCCCAGAGTGAAGCATGGGGGTGGTTCAGTGGATCAGTGATGGTTTGGGCTGCAATATCATGGCATTCCCTATACTGTGCTTAATGCGCACATCACTGCCAAGGACTACCGAACCATTCTGGAGGACCATGTGCACCTAATGGTTTAGACATTGTACCCTAAAGGGTGTGCCGTGTATTAGCATGATAAGGCACCAATACACACAGCAAGACTTGTGACAGAATGGTTTGATGAACATGAAAGTGAAGTTGAACATCTCCCATGGCCTGCACAGTCACCACATCTAAATATTTTTGAGCCACTTTAAGGTGTTTTGGAGGAGCCAGTCAGAAAACGTTTTCCTCCAGCAGCATCACATAGTGACCTGGCCTCTGTTCTGGAAGAGGAATGGCTCAAAATCCCTCTGGCCACTCTGCAGAACTTATATCTGTCATTCCCAAGACAAAGTGGTGCTGTACTGGCCGCAAAAGTAGGCCCTACACCATACTAATAAATGCTGTGGTCTAAAACCAGGTGTTTAAGTTTCATTGTCCAACCCATGTATTTATATTGGCACTGAATAAGGTGGTAAAACAATTAAATGAACAATCTAAAGTTTAGACTGCAGAAATGTAACATACATTGACCATTGACAACTAACATCTGGGAAATTATATGATTACTTTTTGGGTGCCATCTGGAACAGTGCACAGAATAGAATAGAATAGAATAGAATAGAATAGAATAGAATAGAATAGAATAGAATAGAACAAACAGGCCATTTCTAATCACAGTTAAAACATTGACAAAAATGTTTACCATTTGACAATTTTGACCATTGACAACTCATGTGACGTCTGGGAAATTATGATTACGTTTTGGGTGCCACCTTCTGGCATAGTGGGGATAGGATACGATTGATAAGATGTGATTGATATGATATATGATATGATATAAGATAATACTTTTCTTTTACAGAAATTAAAGAATCAATTGATTGATTGATTTGTTAATTATTTATTTGTCAATTGGTCATTAAGTGGCAAAAAATTTGCTTCCAGCTTTTTTAACAAATCAAGTGGTGCAGTTCTAAACAAAGCCATTGTAACCAGTTCTGTACTTTATGCTCACTGAAGTCTCTTCTTTCCCTTTTCAGGTAGATTTTACATTTGACAAGGCGGTTATGTCAGGGATCCTGAAAGAAAGTAGGGACATACTTCTGAAGCTTGTAAATACTCACCTCACAGCAAAATCTCACGGACGCATCAATCACGTCTTCAACCACTACGCTGACCCTGAGCTCCTCACCCAGCTTTACAACCCAGCCGGGCCCCTCAAACCCCACCTCACCAAAATCTGCAATGGGCTTAACAAACTGCTGGAGAACGAGACGTTATGAGGACGGTGATGCACTGACAGACTTTTTACAGGATTGGCATGGAGAGCCACCCGTGATCTCAAACTGCATACAATGCAACTGAAAAGGCAGAACGTGACTGACTGACGGCATCGGATTTCAGTTCAACCTTTGAAACAGTGTTGCTGTACCTTTAATGAATATTAGATCATTCAGTGGCCTGATAGTGTTGTTAACACAGTCACAGCCACAACCACTGCCTGAGCGAGCTCAGATCAACAACTTTTTTTTTAAGCTCTGAGACAGCTGCGTTGGATGGAGGTTTTCTAGACTACTTATTTTTTTAATAATTATGCATAAACCACTGGGGTTCTGCCACTCTGCTGTAAATTAGAGCACATTGTATTGTTTAATACTATTAAACAATTTTGAGCTAAAATATTTACCTCCTAGGACAACAACATAACAAAAACTCCCAAACACGTTTTAGTCTCTTCACGCTGCCATCTAGTGTTACCCTGTGGTTATGGCTATGATATACAAATCTAAGCTTGGCACTACACGTTCAGCAACTATATTTTGACATGAACATCTCTGAGGGGGATCTACTGTGTTCTAAAATGGAACAACCACTAAATAAAGATTTACTTATAGCCCTCACTCATTGCTTATGTAATTTGCATTCAGTGTTGCAATACACTATACCATTCAAAAGTGTGTGGTCAGTACGTGTTGTTGTTTATTTTAAATAAATGCTGCTCTTTTTTTAACTTTGTTCATCAAAGAATCCTGGGAAAATGTATCACCGTTTCCTTGAGCACCAAGTCAGAACAATAGAATGATTACTGAATGATCATGTGACACTTAAGTCTGATCCATTTTTTACAGTCTATGGTCTGATCACTGGCTGCTTGCATTACATTTTACAATATATTAAAAATAGAAATGTTATTTTAAATTGTAATCATTTACACAATTTTAACTGTAAGCTACTATAATGCATTTGTATTGTAAATGTATGACTACATTTTGTTGTTTGGAACACATTCATATTCATAATTCACACCCTATGAACATGCAATTAACGTCTAAAAGTGTTTCGGGTTAGAAACGCACATGATTGATGGAATGCTGCAATTCAGTTGTTACACAATGTATGCTTTAGTTCCGTTGGAATTTTTTTATGCATTTTTGGCCATTCATTTACACAACAACAGCATTTGGGGGTCTAAAAAAAGCAAACTTTTAAAAACAGGTTTTAAAGGGACAATGTGTAGGAATTTCTCCCACCTAGCGGTGAAAATGTATTTTGCATCTGTCTATAAAATAAAGTACACAACCAAACAATGAAAAAAAGCTTGTAATTAAGACTGTAACATTGACTTACCTGTCGAGAAGAAAGCAGGCAACTTCAGCGTCTCTTTTGAAGTCTTTAACCTGCATTAGCTCTCTATCCACCTGGAAAAAGCTATCCATGAAGCTATCCCGGCATTAACTCGTGTTTTTTGTAATCTCCGGTCACGTTTCCTTCTACGATCTATTTTGGACTTTTCTGGCGACGAGGATTTGCAATGCAGCCTTTTAAACTTGCCGGGGCAGTGACAAGCGCCTCTCACTGCTCTTCTCCTCGGTTTCTTCTGCTTTCAATTACGTGACGCTGGCTCTGAACGAAAAAGCGTTGTGGAAACGCGTTGGCCTTGTACTTTTTGTCCCTCTCTGCTATTATAGTTTTTCAAAATGGCGGAACTACATGGAAGCCTCCGTGGACCGGTCCCATGTATATAAAGATAAAAAATTCTTCGTTTACGAGGATAAGTCAGATAATTGGCAGAGGTATTTGTACACCATTGAAGACATATGTATGAATAAAAATATTGATTTTAAATAATAAAATACATTAAAAAAGTACACATTGTCCCTTTACACTGCAAGTTTTTGAAAAAGATACGCAAAGGAAAAAAACGTTTCCATTTTTAGTACATTGTTGTCATGTAAACGTACCATTAGATCATCTTTACGTACACTGATTACCACTCAAGATTTCAAAGACCAGATTAAAAGACCAAGTTCAGTTTGTGTTTATGGCATTTAATCTATTTCATATTACATTCATTGCAGTGCAAAACTATGCATTGAAAGATGCAGATGTCCAATGGCACATTCCCAAATACTTGTTCAATATTCCTAAAACTAGTACTTCTATCAATTATTTGTGAGGTAGTATTAAATATCAATTAGCAAATTAACTATTTTTTAAGCTACATTCCTGATTTATTTTCCTCAAATGCAGTCCTTCACATCACCTAAAACTGTCCACCATTACTTTGGTTACAGCAGAATTATAATTTACATTATTACTTTTAGGCATCAGGCTTGTATTTTTACAGTGCTAATATGTGTGCATGTCTAAAGCTGGTAACCTTTTTATAAAAACAGGACAATTGCAAATCACTCCAACAATCGCCATAACATTTTAAAGGCATGAAACCCGAAGAGGGAGCCCCCTTAAACATTCCATTTATAAAAAAAATAAAATAAAAAAACCCCAGAAAACAGAAGAGTCCTACACCAGAATAAAAGCCTACATCAGAGCTGGAAGAATTCATCCTCCCTATCCCTCAAATTCCTGGTCTGTCTGGTGACAGTAATGGGAACAGCTCCCAATGCGGCCTGCTGGGAGGTGGTGTCGGACTTCAGATTGCTGTGACGGAGTTGCTCCATAGTAGAGATCCTTTAAGATACAAAAGTTCAATTTTTAGGTGATTTCATTACTGGAAAAGTTATGTTTTACGTATGAATAAAAAACCGGAACTGATTCCTTATTGGTGGATAATGGCTTTCTATTTAGGTGTAACCAGTTTAATGAATCAGCTGATGTTCATTGTAACCCCTCCTGAGTCAAATGAATTGAAACCTGCTGAATGACTCGTTTGACAGCAAACAAACCGATTGCAATAACTGAACTCTGAAACACCCTAACAATAATGTCAGCAGTCATAATTTCATTTTGACAACTTACTGTTTCTCTCCCTCCTGGCAGGTCTTCACAGCTGCTTGTTTTGACTGACTGATCAAGCTGTCTATCTTTTGTAGGTACTCCACCGGTGACAAATCAGCATTCGCTTCACATCTGCTGGAGTCTGTTTGGCTTTGGGGGGTCTCATTAGAAATCTCTGTGTGTGTTTGTGCAGGACTTGTCTCCTCCTCGGTCAATTCCACTCCATTAGTGAAAGACACAGACTCTTTCAGCAGGACAGGGATGAAGAGGGACTCCTTCAGGAATATTGAATCATTTGTGTACAGTCTGTTTGCCCTTTTGATTTGCTCCATCTGTAAAGCAATAACAAGTTATATTGATAAATATGTAATTATCAAAAAACTAAACGTTTAAATAGTAAAGACCTTATTCCTCAGATACCTGCTTTCTGATTAGCCTACTTACAGACACGCCATACTTCAGTGAAAGTCCTTGCAAAGTTTCCCCGGGCTGAACTTTGTGCTCAATTCGTCTTTGTCTCACGGGTGATAACGAAGAGGACACCAGGCTGCCGTAGGAGCGGGTGCGCTGGCCGCGGAGGAGGCCGTGTGTCCCGGTCTGTGTCGCTGAGTGATCCGCGGACATGTCCAGAGCTCCAACGGGATCAATAGTTTAGCCAATAATTACTTAAGATGAACTTCAGCTGACCATCTGCGGCGGCTGCTGAACGCAAGACGGCAGGACTCATAACAGCTTCTGTTATTAGTCAAATTATAGGGGAGAAATACAGTCTGCAGCAGTTCACATAAACAATCCCTGACTTACTTGTCACGCACTTTGAATAAACTTTCCAACGAGCGACATTACGAACCGATATAAAGCATTTAACGCCATTTAACCAGTAGATACAGCACACTGAGAAATAAGTATTCAGTCCTGCGTAGCAGAGTAGTCCCAGATAAGTTTGAACAGACTGTTAACGTGTTTCGATTAAATAACATAGGTGCCCCCAAAATTATCAATTCAAACAATACATAAACCATATAACCTAAAGAGATATATACGGTAACGTTAGCCTTTACATTCTAGGTTCTGACACTCATAAAACTTATTTGTTACAAGCCCTTAGCAGATTAGCTTAGCTTCTGTTGCCATGGCGTCGGCTAAATGTAAGATCCGCCCTTGTTGCACTCATTTCGGCGAATCGGTTCTTTCGGACAATAAATCGGTGATTCATCAGTTCTAATTTCGGACATGACAAAAACTGATTCAGCTCTGATCGGATCAGTCCGAATTTACCCGTCTGTTAAAGCCTTAAAGGGAATGGATAGTTCACCCAAAAATGAAAATTCTGTCATCATTTACTCACCCTCAAGTCGTTACAAACATGAATTTCTTTCTTCTGCTGAACTCAAAGGAATATATTTTGTAGAATGTTTGTAACCAAACAGTTGTGGAGCACCTTGACATCCAGTATGGAGGGGAAAAATACTATGGAAGTCAATCGTGCCCCACAACTGTTTGGTTACAAACATTCTACAAAATATCTTCTTTTAACAAAGAAATTCATATATGTTTGGAACAACTTTGGGGTGAGTAAACGATGACAGACAGAATATTCCTTTTTGGGTGAACTATCCCTTTAAGAACTGACTCAAAGGAACGATTCATTCATGCATCGGACATCACTAACGTTACCCACAATTCCACAGACAAAAACAGGAAGGAATGGAAGGAAGGGATGTTTTTAGTAAGACTGCCTATCGGTAGTTGTAGAGAAATAAGAAAATAAATTACTTATAATTCCTAGAAGTATAAGACTACAGGTCACCAAACATGTCTTTCAAACGGGAGGGTGATGATCAAAGTCAGCTAAATGTTCTGAAGGTATAACAAAAACAGCAAACAGACAAAGATGTGATATTTGCACCAGCCCCTTTTCTTTTTCTCACTGTCTTTCTCTGTCTATCTTTCTCTTACAAGAAACGACGCGTTGCAGATCTTCTGTCAAACTTTATCTCAGACGATGAAGCTGTTCTGATGAAAAACGGGAGGTGATTATTGTATTGTTGTTGGAATTGCACCAAGAAATCTGTGACTGAATTTATCCCATTCATTGAGTAATGTTTTTCCTCTTGTAGATACAGCTGCCTTGTGTGTTCTCACCGTCCTGTGTTTGACACTGTTGATATGCTCATGGTGCACAGGAAGGGAAAGCGACATCTTGAAGGTGAAATTCTACACATTTAATCAGCCTCTGTATAAACTGGCATTCAGCATTTAAGTCCTCTTTGTCTATTCATTTATAGGAATGAAATGGTTCTACGGCAAAAAGAATAAACTGCAACGTGAAATTGATAAAAGAAGGCATCAAGACTATGTCAAAGCAGAAGATGATCGACAGGTGTCTGAATGCATTTTCTTCAATCAGTTTACAGTGGTATCCTAAAGTCTATCCTTCTGTCTTGTATTTTGCCGATATAATACACTTTTGTCAGTGATTAGTGACCTAAAAATAGTGTTTAATTTAGTTAATTTTTATTTCCAAGTTTTATTTTTTAATTCCCAGATTTTCAGTGTAGTCCCAGACTTTCAGACCCTACAGTACATATGTAGATATAACAAGGTTATGTACTCATTATATTATTGCTTGCCCTCAGGAACCCTCCAGTTCAGCTCCTCTACTGAGCCAAACACGCAAAATTACCCATCATGCCTTACTCAGAACTGCTCCGTACAGTAGCTGCCACAGAAAGGCCAGGTAATGTCTGTGAGCTGAACCATCTTTATGAACTTCTGCTGTCATATTCAGAGTTTTTATAGACTTCTCTAGGCTGTTTGTGTCTTTCTAGTCTCTTTGACCTCAACCACGCTTCATATCTGATGAATTTTGCAACATCGACAACAATAAACTGAGTTGAGCTTAATGACGATACTATTGTCTTCTGTAGAGCTTCTTATAGTTGAATTGAACTTATTTCTTAATTGATGAACTTTACAAAGTTATTGAACTGAACTGAATCAACATTGAATTGACTTGAGCTAATAAAGACACTATTGTCTTCTGTAGAGTTGCTTTACAGACAAATTTGTCTCATCTTTAATGAAATCATAATGTTCCTGTTTATTACGGTGAAGCTGCTTTAAAACAATCTGTATTGTATAAAGCGCTATATAAATAAAAGTGACTTGACAAATTTATCGTCATTTTGCACTTATTTTATCATTTTCTACAATCATGAAGTGAACGAACGGAATCGTCAGGATGTGGCCAAAAAGATGGAAATGATCAAGTCAACAATATCAACTCTCATACCTCCATGAGCACAGGAAGTATTGACTCCATGTCAATAACTAGCACAACAGGTACAGCAAAAGTCTGTTTATGTTAAGGCAAGATACATTTTGTGCTTATAATTCCTTTTCATTTTCCATATGCATTGTGTTAATTGTCATCCGTAGTGCATCAGGGCCAGACTGAAGGGAAAGGAGCAACAAAGAAGGGGTCCAGCATTGTGACCTCCACTGATTGTGAACCTCTAACAGAGCAGAGACGTAGAGAATTGGACCACTACCTCAAATTAAAGAGGTATGGCAACACTCCACACAATGGCTCACATTATGATGTTTTATTAACAAAGTTTGGGAGAAGCACGTTTAGATAATTAACACGGGTGGAGAGCACTCAGCAATCATGATTAAAACGTGTATATATAGACTCAGCAGTCTCACCTCATTTCTCTGACAGTTTAGCAGCGTCCCTCCACCACCCCTTCTCCACTCTTTTAGTCCTAAACCACTTTACATACAGGGGGGAGTACTCTGGGTTCGGGCCGAATTCCGAGCTCGGAGCCCTCCCCCCGGACAGTACGCCAAATACGCATTATACTTTATTCCCTTTAATTGTATGTAAGTGTGAACTCGTGAAACTGACTATAGAAGTGCGGCCAGTTGCATAAACACCCAAAGTTTTAAGACTGTAGATGTGTCCCAATTCGCTTATGTAACTGACTTAACGTTATGACCATTTGTAAAGTTCGAGGAAAATAAAATGATGACTAACTTGTAAGACTAGTCCAAGCATTTTATGCAAATGGTTGATGTAAGCATACAAGTAGGTATTCAAAATACATTTTAAGATCACAGTGAGATTATTCAATAAATGTATGCTTCTCATTTATCAATATTTAGGTGACCGCTCTATTTTTCTCCTTTTTTTCCCCCTCACTCCACTATTCCAGTTCAGGGTGGCTGCAAGACCGAAGTGGTAAATGGGTAAAAGATGAGAATGTCGAGTTTGACTCGGATGAAGAAGAACCGGCTCTGTTGCCTCCTGAATCTTCATAGCAGACTCTGCTGAAACAGCTCCATACAGTTCAGCAACTGCTTAAAAGGCTTCAGGCTACAACTGTGTGTGAGATGACGATAATGTTCTCGATAGTCAGCTCTCATATGACATCTTTATGTGTGACCCACTTTATATACAATAAGGTTGAAACTTTAAGACATTCTTTCTGGAAAAGAGTTTGTGCTGTTGCATTTAGCATTTTGCAAATTGTATTAGTACTGTGTACTTGCCATCTGGTTTAAACAATTTTCTGATTCTGACCCAATAGAGGATGTTTTAGAAAATAAATAAAGTTAAGTCTGTCAGTTAGTCCTCCTCAGTCTGTTCAATCTCATGTGGTGTATTTTTACATATATCATTATCATTTTACTTTCCATGTGTGAATGTTGGTTGCATGATTGAATAAGTCCAAATCTGTTCCAAATCAAGAACAGAATGTGGAACGGCTGCTTCGTACTGTGGTTCCTTTGCCAAATGCCATCAGAGTGATCTTGGCAGAGTGGGACTACATTCTGCAGTAGACCTGGGAAGTTAATCACCCACAGAAAGCGAAAATTCACTTTTGCGGCTGCTGTATCTTTTTATAAATTCTTTGAAAACTGTACTTGTCAATTGGTGACGCTTGGGAATCTTCGTAGCAGGATAGCAGCTGTTCCAAAGGGGAGCATAAATCTCCTCGAGGAAGGCGGTATATATTTGGAGCTTTGTAACTCAAAGCCATCAGCCAGGGTTTCATGACTGGGTGCTCTACGTGTATAAATAGGTTGGGGGAGGGGGGCAGGAAGCACGGCCGTGGGATATTAAATAGTGCCATTTGTTTTGTGCCTCTGGGTTTGGGTCATCATTTGCACAGGTTAATCATATAAAAGTTATGAAATGACTCGTTTATCTAAATCCTCTATTAATTTAATAATGCATCATCTAAATCTAATCTATATTGTAACAGAGTCCGGATCTTGTTAATGAAGCTGTTTTTTACAGTGAGTTTGTTGAGAGCATCTGCTTTGAGAATGTAACGTGTTTACACTTACACTTGAAAAAAGTTTTCACCACGGCTGCCTTTATTTGATCAAAAATTCAGGAAAAAAAAAAACTGTAAAATTGAGTTTCTATCTTGATGTGATGGCAAAGCTAAATTTTCACAGAATTGCTCTAGTCTTCAGTGTGACATGACCCTTCATAAATTATTTTAATATGCTGATTTGGTGCTCAAACATTTTCTTCTTATTATCAACGTTGAAAACAGTTGTGCTGCTTAATATTTTTGTGGAAACAGTGATACATGTTTTGAGGATTAACTGATTAATCCAATAACAATATATAACAAACAGCATTTAAATAGAAATCTTTTGTAACATTATAAATGCCTTTGCTGTTACTTTTGATAAATTTAATGCATGCTGATTTTTTCCCCCAGAATTCTTTGATTAGAAAGTAAAAAAAAAAAAAAAGCATTTATTTGCAATAAAAAATTTCTGTAACATGTAAAAATGTATTCATTGTCTATAATATTTTCTTTAAAAAAATCTTACTGACCCCAAACTTTTGAACCGTAGTGTATGTCAGTGCTTTGATAGAACAAACCTGAATTAAATTATGCTTTTGTAATTTAATAAAACTTTGAAGTCTGATTAGACAATATAGATTGTAATATTTTATTTGAAATAGATTGTAATATTTTATTTGAAATATTTACAAAAAACTTTGCCGGGAGCACCATATTAGCAGAAAATGAACTGAGTAACTAGTGTCTTTTCAAGTTTACAAACTGAGGTATTAAAGAGCAGGTCAATTTTATTAGATCATAGCTTTTGATTTGATGAAATCCACAAAAAGCAATGAAGTCTTATCAAGCTGGCGATAATGATATCCACAATGGCCGACGGTGAATGGTTAAAGCGTGTCAGGGTCATCTGTTGTCGTGGCTGTTGCTGAAGTGTCTGTAGGACTCCAAGAGTGCACATGGAGAACTTTGATACCTCCTAGATGAACTAAACTCCATCTTCTTTTCATCTTACTCTCTGCTGACGAACTGGATATGGGGTGAATACAAAAAAGTTCAATGTAGAAACAATAAGGAATAAAACAATGTTCCAGTTTCAGCTGCAGACAAGTGCAAACTGCAATATTTCAGAAAATAATATGAGAACACACTCACGGATGTCATTGTTTCTGGTGATGGCTATGGCGGCTCTTGCACGTGGGCCCTGCTGAGTGAAGTGATAGCCAATCTTTATGATGCTGGGGTTATTCTCCAACATGGATGCAATCTCCATCTCAACGGAGTCGCCCAGTTTCTGTCTCTGTAGGAGTGCGCATGAACAATTTAGTTTTACGATTTAAACAAACATGCCATCAGATGTTTTTGGCAGGAGTATTTTAGCCTCTTACTTGGTTGTCAATCTTAATCTCAGTCAGGGTGGAGTTCTCTCTCAGTGCCTTGGCGACGGCCATCATGCCTTGTGCAGTAATGAAGTTGGACTCGATGTTGAGGCTCTGCAGGGTGGTGTTGGACTGTAACATCTCAGCTACAGCCTGACTCACAAGAACAGATCAAGAGAAACAACTGATGTCGACTGACCATCATTTCCATAATACATACAGATGAAGACAGAATTGAGCAATGATTTTATGAAGAATATTCAATTTTATGAAGAATATTCTATTCATTAGTCTAGAAAAATACACTACAAAAGTTTGGGGTAGATATGATTTTTGAATGTTTTTGTTCTTATGCTCACCAAGGCTTGAATCAAAAATACAGTAAAATCATTAATATTGTGAAATATTATTAAAAAAATCTATTTTCATTTATTCCTGCGATGTCAACGCTGAATTTTCAGCATCATTACTCCAGTCTTCAGTGTCACATGATCCTTCAGAATTCATTTGAATATGCTGCTCAAGAAACATTTCTTATTATTATCAATATTAAAAACAGTTGTGCTGCTTAATATTTTTGTGGAAACAGGGATGTTTTGAGGATTAACTGATGATTTGGAAGTTCAAATAAACAGCATTTATTTGAAATAGAAATCTTTTGTAACATTATAAATGCCTTTACTGTCACTTTTGATCAATTAAATGCATCCTTGTTGAAAAAAGTATTCACTCTTTAAAAAATAAATCTCACCCTTTTGAACGGTATACTGTACATGACTAAACTAATTAGTTACAATAAATTGTTCAAAAAGTTTTTACTTTTATTTACAGCATTTTAAAACTACAAAACTTTAAACAGACTAAGATTTTATTTGATCAAGACACACTTAAAATATTTTGAAATATATTTTCAGACTTGTATGTGGAAGATTAATATGAGATTGAAGCAAAGGAATGAGTGAATGATACAACAAATCAAAATTGCAGGCTTCAGGACTTACAAAGGCCACAGGGTCATTACTGCGTGTCCCAGCGATGCTGAGGCTTTGCACATGTGTGTTGCTCTTCATAGCCTCAAAAATCTCTTTCAGGGTTGGGATGGGAATGTCCTACATCAACACAAACACTCGTTAATATCATCATTCCGATCAAGCAGAGAAATGCATTCATTCTTATGATTAATTAGGTCATTAATACTTAAAGTGTAAGTGAGCAATCTGTTTATAATATTAATGTTATGTCTAGCCTGTAATGTGATTATAATTATGCATATTGAGGTGTCAGTACTGTTAGCATGTTTACCGGGATGTTGTTGAGGTTGACCTCCTCCAGGCTGCTGTCGTTTTTCTGGATGCATCGGAGAGTGTCCTCCACATCTGTGTCATTTGGAGGCTCGTCAGGATAGATCTTATACACATCTGGTTTCACCACACCTTAAAGAGAATTGACCAACCAGCTTATGATACAGAAGTTCCTACTGTGAATATATATTCCTACTGTGACATTCAGTGAATTAAAAAAAAACTCACTATATAAAACTTTCAGTTGACATTAAATACTTTAGTGTTAAATGTGTTGAATGTATACATACTGTTGATGCCTTCTGTGTTTGCAATCTTGCCAGTGGTGTTCAGGGCATCATAATATTGCTTGTTGCTCATGAGCGTGTACATCCCCAGGATGGCTGTGAGGATATAAGCATCTCATTAGTAGATGGTTTAAATATACAATACTCTCAGAGTACTGTTATAGGATGCCAGTGAATATATAAATATGTTTTAATAAAACATAATTAATAATTATTAATTAAGAAATTATAAATATTAAAATATGTTTATATATATATATATGTAGTACATTTACAATACATTTATATGAATAACATTACATAATATAATACAATTTATTAATATTTAATTTAAAATAAATACAAAATTGAATATAATAATAATATGTTGAAGATTAAAATTAATAAATCAATTATATTTGATTTAATGATAAATGTATAAATATAACTAATAATTTAGAATTATATAATAATTAATCATTTCATTTTAAATAATTATTTTAATTAATATTATATAAAAAAACTAAATAATAAGTAGGCTACGTGTTTAATAAATTACTAATGTTTTTTTAATATAATTATAGATCATCTTTTCGTGGAATAGCTTGTGAGAAACACTGGCACAATTCATTTAAACTGCACTGCAGAGAACTGTGTTGAACAGCAGGTGGCGCTGACTAACCAGTAAACCCACCATTAAAAACTCCCTCTCCATGTTTCAATTAGCAGACTGGCTGGACTAGTGAACAAAAACAGTGGGGCAATAGCAGATAAAAATTGAGATTGGGTGATAGACCAGACCTCACCTTTGTACTACAGCTCTGAATGCCATTTTCAGATACAATAGCCAGATTAAAACAACCAGCACAATTAAAGGGGTCAAATGGTGTGTTTATAATGTTCTTTGAGGTCTGCCTATAAGGTTGGTAAGATTTTTACATCGAAAACGTCCTAATTCAGAGGTAATAGGCTATTTTCTAACCTTTTTTTGTTTACCCTCTCTTTTTAAACACTCCATTTTGATGGGTCGTGCCTCAACTTTCGATGTTCACCATACATGTTTGAGCCAGAGTCTAATCCAGAATCAGAAGAAAATCCACGAATATGCTAAAGAAATGTGTTTATCTCATTTATCTCATCTCATTTGCTAATGTGAAACATTTATGCGTATTACATACGCTTTAAAAGTCTTGGTTGTACCAAATAAAGTTGAAGTACTTGGAGTTACCACAACTTGCGGTGTTTAGTGTAAACTAATTATGAATGAATGTACCATAGTTTATCGCACTGTTGTTCTTATATGCATCGTTCATCATTTTCAGTCAAATGAAAGTAAAGAGAGTACATATTAAAC